AAGCGGCTTAGTCATGCTGGCCACATGACCCGGAAGCTGTTTGCCGGCTCCCTCGGCCAATAAAGCGAGATGAGTGCCGCAACCCCAAAGTCGGCCACGACTGGACCTAATGGTCAGGGGTCCCTTTACCTTTTATTCTTATGGAGAAGCTGGAAAATGTGGGCTGGATGAGGTAACAGTTAGATGGATTTGTAGCTGGTTGACTAACTGAACCCAAAGAGTGCTCATTAATGGCTCACCATCATTCTCAGAAGAGGGCAACCAAGATGATAAGGGTAAGGTAACCAAGCTCTACGAGGAATGATTGAGGGAGTTGGATATGTTTAGCCTGGATAAGAGGCATATGAGACCCATCTTCAAATTTCTAAAGAGCTGTCACATGGAAGAAGGAGCAAGCCAAGCCAATGGATTCAAATTTCAAGAAAAGAGATTCTGAGTAAACATTAGGAAGCTCTTTCTGATGGTAAGAGCTTCTGGACAGTGGAACAGGCCCCCTCGGAAGGTCTTGTACTCCTTCACTGGAGGTTTTTAAGCAGAGGTTGGGTGGTCATCAGTCAGGGATTCGTAAGCTGTGATTCCTGCATTGCAGGGGTTTGGACTAGATGATGCTTGGAATCCCTTCCAATGCTACAATTCTGTGAAACTGATTTAGTATGAAAGAACATGATTCTCTGAGGAATTCCTGAGCACAGGGTTGGTTGTGTTTTACAGCATCAGAACTTAGATGAACTCACGGTCTTTCGACACATTGAGCTGTTCATGGTTTCCTCAAGTTCTCTTTGTTTCAGTTGCCAAATTTCCAACAGATGTGCTTCATTTTGCTATTGTTCGATAACTGGAAGTCAGAAACTCTTGCAAAATGATTACACATCTCCAAGAGATATGCCAATAGATTCAAATCTACCTTCTGCCAAGGTTGTTGTAATAAGAATAAGTGGATGGGACGTAGGTAGCACTGTGGTCTAAGCCACTGAGCCTCTTGGGCTTGCTGTTCAGAAGGTCAGCGGTTCGAATCCCGGCGATGGAAGAAGAAGAAGAAGAGTTTGGATTTGATATCCCACTTTACCACTACCCAAAGGAGTCTCAAAGCGGCTAACAAACCCCTTTCCCTTCCTCCCCCACAACAAACACTCTGTGAGGTGAGTGGGGTTGAGAGACTTCACAGAAGTGTGACTAGCCCAAGGTCACCCAGCAGCTGCATGTGGAGGAGCGGAGAGGCGAACCCGGTTCCCCAGATTACAAGTCCACCGCTCTTAACCACTACACCACACTGGCTCTCAGTAAGTGAGCTCCCGTTGCTCTGTCCCAGCTCCTGCCAACCTAGCAGTTCAAAAGCATACCAGTGCAAGTAGATAAATAGGTACCACTGCATCGGGAAGGTAACTGGTGTTTCCATGCACTCTGGTTTCCGTCACCGTGTTCTATTGCGCCAGAAGGGGTTTAGTCATGCTGGTCACATGACCCGGAAAGCTGTCTGTGGACAAACGCCGCCTCCCTTGGCCTGAAAGCAAGATGAGCACCACAACCCCATAGTCACCTTTGACTGGACTTAACCATCCAGGGGTCCTTTACCTTTACCTTTTTACATAGTAAGAATAAAACCATGGTGACCGGTAAGGCTCTTCAAAACATTGCCAAATAGGACATCCCCTCAAATATTTTCATATATAAAATATTTAGTATGGTTGGAGCTTTAGTTATATAGTTCTATCTAGGAGTAAGTCCCATTAAACCCTACGGGGATTACATCTGAGTATAAACTATATAGCATTGTGCTAGCACTCCTCACTCAAATTTCAGCAAAATCCGCCAATCTCACAGGTGTTGTTGTTGTTGTCATCTCCCTCCAAGTACCTGGAATTTCCTTTCAACATAAATTATTCCCCACCCTCACCCCCTATCAACACACATGGGTGGTTTTCAATGCTAATTCTGTTCAGATCCACTGAAGTTATTATACATGATCCACTTCAGTTCATTAATTTCAGTGGGTTTTCTCTGAGAGGGCCTTAGTTGAATACTAAGTTAAATAATCCAAACCTAAATGAAATGCTCAAAAAATGGTAAGGAAAACGGCATAGGATAAGCTTGCAGTTTCATAGAAGCAGAATCTTAGAATTTTAGAGCTGGAAGGGGCCGCCGGGGGTCCTCTTGTCCAACCCCCTGCAATTTAGGAATCTCAGCTAAAGCTAAAGGAGCCAGTGTTGTGTGGTGGTTAAGAGCAGTAGACTCGTAATCTGGTGAACCGGGTTCGCGTCTCCCCTCCTCCACATGCAGCTGCTGGGTGACCTTGGGCCAGTCACACTTCTCTGAAGTCTCTCAGCCCCACTCGCCTCACAGAGTGTTTGTTGTGGGGGAGGAAGGGAAAGGAGAATGTTAGCTGCTTTGAGACTCCTTTGAGTAGTGATAAAGCGGGATATCAAATCCAAACTCTTCTTCTGACAGATGGCCACCCAACCTCTGCTTTAAAAGCTCCAAGGAAGGAGGGTCCACAACCTCTTGAGGGAGTCTGTTCCACTGTCAGCTCCTATTGTCAGAAAGTTTTTTCCATATGTTTAGTCCAACAGTTTCGACAGAAACCTCCAGAGTTCTCTCGCCTCATCAGAAAAATAAGTTCCTTACGCAAGCAAATGTCCACTTTTTTCTCACATCCATCTTGGCAAAGGAGAAACGCTGGGCCCTGCATGAATTTTTCTCACCCGAGTTTTGCGACAGAAGAAAAATAAAACTCCCTCCCCCCCCTCTTTACCTCAATTTCAGAGGAGGGATGGCAAAAATGCCAACGGTTTGGGCCCTGTCCCAGGGGCTAGGCAAGAACCGCTCCACCCAACTCTCTCCCCTCCGACTCCTTCCCTCCAGAGCAGGGGAAATACTCTAAGTCAAGCTACATCAAGCAATCTTTTCTACTTTGAATAATAAAAGCAATTATGCCAGATAAAATCTGTATCCCGCCCTGAATGTGATTGCAAGCTTTTCTGGCATTTTTGGTAGTGAATACAGAGCAGCAGGTGGAAAAGAGGAACCAGAAAGCAAAGGAATTTCATGGGCATTTTCCAAGAAAGCAGAAATTCCTCTGAGTCACACAGGATGGAGTTTCCTTCTGACAACGGTGAAAAGAGAACCTAAATCTCCACTTTCTTCACTTCTGGTCTGCTCCAGTTACCTCAAAGTAGAATCTATGTATGGGTGAGGAATTTGTCCAGACTTGCCAACCGCAGGAGCTACCAAATTCTGAATCAGGGGTTTTCATCCACCTGCTCAGAAACTAAAGGGACTTGCCAAATACTGTACAACTGAGTGCAGTAACGGATATAGTAGGCGCACTGCTCATTTCAAAGCATCGAGGGATGGAAAAGTTTCATAATAATTTTTGCACACACACACAAATACACACACATGACTCGCCAGTCAGAAAGAGGAGAGTGAGAGACACTATAAAAACTGATTTACCCCTTCTCCAGAAATAAACTTCGGGGAATTCCTCCAGCTAATTCATTCAAATGTTATTATGGAGTTGTTGTGACATTGTTTTTCAAAACAATTTTGTAGCTGAGGACCTTAAAAACTGCATGAGCAATTTGTATCATAAACTGTCATCATCAGTGAAATCCAGGACTGGTATTTTTTTTTAAGTTATTTTGCTGGAATAGTGATGCCATTTTTTTGTTTTCATCACTGTGGAAATAAAGTACACTGAGACTGAAGAAGGGGAGGAAGCTGACAGTCTGCTGGGCTGGTTGTGAGAAGGCTGGCAGGCAGGAGCAGGTCTAGAGCCCAGATACATGTTTCAGAGACAATCAGATCTGAGTGGGAATAGTGACAGCAGCCCATAGGAAACAGTAAATGGCTCAGCTGCCCTTCTAAAGGATTTGTGCAGATGAACTCAGGGATTGCTCCTGAGCTACCTTTAAAAAGAAAAGTCCTCCTGGAAATCAAGTTATGAAACAATGAACCAAACTACAGTAGTTGATCCTGCCTGTCAGTGTTTTTAGCCAATGAGTGAAGTCAAAGCTATAACTGATAAATGACACCAGGCAAGAGTCCAGGCAAGTACTCTGGGGTTCTAAAGAGCTACTGGGTTGTACTCATCTCCTTGTTAAAAGTGCTTTGGTTTATCTTTTTTTCTTTTTCTTTTTTCTCCAACCCTCTGCCATTGTTTACAACAACAATTTTCATCTCAGTGTTGCTACCCCTGCTCTACTCAAACTTCTGTTGAGTAAAAGCAGGGAACTGTTTAAAAAGGGAAAGTTTGACTGCATTCAAATTGCTCTTAGCATTCCAGTCTTCTTAAAGATACAGCTTGTTCAGTCTGCTAACTGTTGATGGGTCATATTACCTGGTCACAGTCTCCCCAGTATGCTGAGATGATGATGATTATTATTAATTGAATTTCTATACCGCCCTACACCTGGAGGTGTCAGGGTGGTTCACAGAGTAAAACCAAAATAGAAAACCATAAAATACATAATCAGAATAAAAACAACCCAATAACCCCCCACCCAAAAAAAACCACGTTTGAAAAGGGCCTAAGATCCTCACAACTTTTAAAGTAAGACAATAAACAAACCTGCACGAGAGCCATTAGCTGGAAAGACCACAAACTCAGAAATATGCAGCAAAATTTATTTATTGGCAACCAAATTGGCCATGTGCCTTTCTGATACCTGGCTGTCCTGCCAACACAGTGAATGTAAATATTTGCGTCTTCCAGACAGTCAAACTGAATGACCCAATTCACAGCACGGAAACCAATCGCCTGAGCCGCAAGATCCATAGCAAAGAGACCTGCTGATTTCTTGCACACAAAATCCATGTAGACTTCCATTCTTTTTATCTCCTTCTGCTTGCCATGAACAGCCAGCATAGGGAGCCCAGTTCGAAGACGGCAGAAGACTCTAAACAAATACGGAACCTCTTTACAGCTTGCAGAAAATACAATACTTTTCTTACTCAGATGAATTCTCAAAAAGGACTACAACATATTGATTTTCTGGTGCAGTTCACAAACAACATAGTTCTGTTCCAAAGTTGCTGGAGTACTGAACTTGGCCTTCTTGTGTACCCAGATATATTCTGGATCTTTCAAGGTCAGCCAGGCCAGGTCCTTTCAAGCTCAGCCGCTCCATGCGCTTGGCGTAGTTCTTCTTCCAGCGGTTGAAGGTGTGTACTGGGCCCGGGCTGGGCCCACCAAGGATCCCCCCAGCTTTTTTCCATTTCCTCAATTCAGCAGGCTGCAATTCTTGCTGATACACAGGGCAGTGAAGTGATGAGCAGGTTTCAATGTTCACATCCCACCCTACAGAAATGGAGAAGACCCATTTATCCATGTTTCCAGAGGTGGCGTGCACCCGGGGGTGGGGCTAGCCGACCGCGGGGCGCATCCCAGAGGGAAGCCCCCCATGGCGACAGTCCCAGGAGGTGCCGCCCGTGGTGAGCGGTGATTGTCCCGGGGGTGTGCTGCCCATAGTGATTGGCCCGGGGGTGTGTGCCGCCCACAGTGAGCAGTGAGCGGCCCGGGGGGGGTGGCGGTGTGGTTATGTCACCCTCCCTCAGGGATGAAAAATGGAGCCAATTGTTATTTGAGCAGTGTGGGATAGAGAGGGATAGAGAGACAGAGAGGGATAGAGAGACATAGCACTTGCATTGGAAGTAAGCATGGACACCGCAGGGGCTTGAACCCCGTCCTGGAAACCAGGAGTACCAACCACCTGTGTCTTTTCCTTTTTTTTTTTTTTGAGCAATGCAATAAGGGGAAAAGCAAAACCTGAGAGAACATTCTGTGAATGTTCTCTCAGGGGAAAAGAAAACCTTAAGATGTTAAGTAGAGCTCTGTGGAGAGTCCTGTGGAGAGAGCAGAAAAGAAAATGGGAAAACACAATGGAGATTTTCTCCCTAGCCAAGCAAGGCATGCTCTGGGAAGCCTGATCAGAAGAAGAGCTGGAACAAAAGTAAAGAAGAGCTGGAACAAAAGAAGAAGTGTTGTCCTACCTGCAGGTGAGCCTTTTCTTACCACCATGACTTCTGGGACCCTCCATGAAGAGCTACCTTCGTTTGAGGGTTGGGAGCTCTTTGGAGAGACTTGTGGAGAGACCAGCAGAAAAGAAGATGGGAAAAAGGAGAGACTAATACAAAAAAACATGGTCTTGGGAAAAAAGACCATTGAGTGGTGGAATGTGAACTTACCTAAAGCAGCACAGTCCAAATGCAGGTGACTCTCACTTCAGGTACAGTGATCTCTTGAAAACTTGAAGAGCTGCAACAAAAGAAGAAGTGTTCTCCTACCTGCAGGTGAGCCTCATTGTGGTGACGCAGAATAGGCCTTCTTCTGACAACACAGTCACCGCAATCTGAAAGAGACTTAGCACAATGAGTTGCAGACGGAACCAATACAAAAAACATGGTCTTGAAAAAAGACCACTGAGTGGTGGAATGTGAACTTACCTAAAGCGGAACAGTCCAAATACAGCTGTCTCTCACTTCAGGTACAGTGAACTCTGGGAAACCTGAAGGGAAGAAGAAATGGAACAAAAGGAAAGAAGGGCTGGAAGAAAAGAAGTGTTCTCCTGCCTGCAGGTGAGCCTTTTCTTACCACCATGAGCTCTGTGGAGAGACCAGCAGAAAAGAAAATGGGGAAAAGGAGAGACACACACACACACAAAAAATTGTCTTGAAAAAAGACCACTGAGTAGCGGAATGTGAACCTACCTAAAGCAGCACAGTCCAAATGCAGCTGACTCTCACTTCAGTTACAGTGAACTCTGGGAAGCCTGAAGGAAAGAGGAGCTGGAAGTCTTCTCATACCTGCAGGTGAGCCTCATTGTGGTGACACGGAATAGGGCCTCTTCTGACAACTCAGTCACCGCAACCTGAAAGAGTCTTAGCACAATGAGTTGCAGACGGAACACCATATTCTTCCTAGTCAAGCAAGGAATACTCACCTAAATGTCCTTCAATCATGGAATACCATTTTGACTGCCATTTTTGATTGAAGCTGGATGAGCCCTTGATCTAGAGGGGCACAACAGAGAAATGGGATTCAGACTTCAATCTCTGCCATTAAGCTTGTTGTGGAAAAAGGGAAGATTGCTCAATGGTCACACTTTTGTTTCTCCATTTGAGATACGACCTCATGTTTCTGCGATCTCGAGTCCTTAGTTTGTCCCCAGCCACCTTCCACCAATCCTATAGAAAATGTGTTTTAAAAAACCCCACAAAACAGGGCTTTTCTTACCACCATGACTTCTGCCCACGCCTCCTCTCAACACGCACACACAGAGGTCACTTCCAACGCCATCATTTTCATGCTTGCATTGGATTCCTCTCCTTCCGCCACTCCCCCCACCCCCACTTTCGGACTGTAACACCCCCAAAACCTCTTCTGTGTGAAATAGAGACCCTCATCTTGGATGGAGAAGACATGCCTCTTTATTTTAAAGCTCTAGCCAACCCCCCCACCCCCTGCTTCTTGCCACTAGGTTCCATCGACAGAAGGTTCCCCCCGCCACCCCTTTGAGCCACTGGGAGCCAGCTAGGAGCGCCCACCATCCCTGCCCCACTTCAAATATTGGTCCTTTATAGGGAAGGATTTCCTCTATTTGAGTGTCTGAGTGTGTGTGTGATGGACGCTCCTAGCTGGCTCCCAGTGGCTCAAAGGGGCGGGGAAACCTGGGGTGTGTGGGTGTGGGTGGGTGTACACACCAGCCCCACACTTCAGCCTTTAGGTGTTGTTGAGCTACAACTCCCATCATCCCTGACCCCTGGTCCTAGTAGCTAGGGACGATGGGAGTTGTAGTGCAACATCTGGGGTTTCGAGTTTGAGAAAGGCACACATCTGTATAAGCGCGCACACACACATTCACAGTTCTCTTTTCTGAACCTGTTAAAAAACATTCCTATTTAGACAAACCTACCCAGATGCCTATAAAGTTGCGTTCATTTTAATCTGTTTTATTATTTTAACTTTTGTGTGTTTTAAAGTACAACTGTAATTTTTGCTTGCTTTTACTGGCTTATCTCTTGTAAACCACTTTGGCAGTTTTTACCATCAAGCATTCTATAAATTTGATAAAATAAATAAACTCAAACAAGCATATGTAGGATAGTATTTCATCCTATAGAATCATAGAATGGTAGAGTTGGGAGGAATCCTGAAGGTCATCTAGTCCAGCCTCCTGCAATGTGGGTATGGGGGGGGGAACGTAATATTTCATCATAGATGCCTATTGTTTTAACTATATAATTGTTAACTGGATTTTAGTAAATCTTACTCAGTAGCATAAGTAGGAATGCCAAGCAGAAACTAACAAGTATTATTCTTAAGGATGTTTGAATGAACGAGCACATTTTTAATCTAGAATGGAATACTTTAAAGTTAATCCAGTCACTAATAGGATGAATGGAGGGGTGGGGTAGGGAGAAAGAGACCAAAACAACTTCCCAACCAAGTGGATGTCAAGCCTGTTTAACTCCCCTAAAATTTTGCTCCTTTGTTTTTATTTGATAAAATATGTCTGACCCAAAGAGTGCTTTTTAAAAAAAAGAAAGAAAGAGAGAATGTAAGAAAGAATACCAAATTGTTTCATAGAACTTTGCACTCTTATTTAGGGGACAGAGGGTGGCGCCTGGGGGGGAATTGTCATCGCGCCACTCCTTGGTGTCTGGAGTGCCTCAGGGTGCGATACTCTCCCCGATGCTTTTTAACATCTTTATGCGCCCCCTCGCCCAGCTTGTCCGGAGTTTTGGGCTGGGTTGCCATCAGTGTGCCGATGACACCCAACTTTATCTGTTGATGAATGGCCATCCTGACTCGGCCCCAGACACACTGACCAGATGTCTGGAAGCTGTGGCTGGATGGTTACGTGGGAGCCGGTTGAAGTTAAATCCTTCGAAGACAGAGGTCCTCTAGCTGGGACTGGACGATATGGGATTGAGGGGACAACTCCCATCTCTTTCGGGGGTGCAATTCGTGCCAGCACCGTCCGGTAAGAGTTTGGGTATAATCTTCGATACCTCCCTCTCTATGGAGGCACAGATTACAGCTATAACAAAGGCGGCATTTTTTCATCTCCGCCAAGCTAAGCAGTTGGCTCCTTATCTCTCTCGTCCTGGCCTAGCCACTGTGATCCACGCGACGGTCACCTCCAGACTGGATTATTGTAACTTGCTCTACGTGGGGCTGCCCTTGAGACTGACCCAGAAACTCCAGCAGGTGCAGAATGCCGTGGCGAGACTCCTTACGGGGTCCTTGTCGTGGGATCACATTCATCCAGTGCTTTACCAGCTGCACTGGCTCCCAGTGGAGTACAGGATCAGGTTTAAGGTGCTGGTTTTAACCTTTAAAGCCCTATATGGCCTAGGACCCTCGTACCTACGGGACCGCCTCTCCTGGTATGCCCCACAGAGACGGTCTGCAAATAAAAACATCCTGAAGGTCCCAGGCCACAGAGAGGTTAGGCTGGCCTCAACTAGAGCCAGGGCTTTCTCAGCTGCGGCTCCAATCTGGTGGAACGCTCTGTCACAAGAGACTAGGGCCCTGCGGGACCTGACATCTTTCCGCAGGGCCTGCAAGACAGAGCTGTTCCACCAGGCCTTTGGTCAGGGCGCAGCCTGACTCCCTCCTCTGGCAATCTGCACAGAATTTTGCTTAACGGTTGCCATCAATTTGATTTTAATTTTTATAATGAAATGTTTTTAGAATGTTGGATTATTTGATTGTTGTTAGCCGCCCTGAGCCCGGATTCGGCTGGGGAGGGCGGGATATAAATAAAAATTATTATTATTATTATTATTATTATTATTATTATTAGTCACCCTTCCAGGAGTGCTACTTCTTGGTATTCTTCTTCTGAAGGTCAGATGCTGGAAATTGCAGGAGGGGAGCTTGGCCACCAACAAGGAATTGGTTCTAAGAACACAATATCCAAATAACCAGCTTAATCAAAATAATCCACTGTTTGTATGGATTGCGTTTTTGTTGTAAACTGCTTTGAGAGCCTTTCTGGCAGAAAAGTATGGTGGAAATGAAAAAAAATATGTCAGCAGTTTGTTGTTTAACTCTTGAAACAGGTCTACTTTCATGGGAATAAACTACCTCCCGCCTTCTCCCCCCCCCCAATAGCCCAACAACTATAGGTATCAGGGCTGAATAAGTGCTGGAAATCATGATGACCTCTGAACTTGAACATTTTGCTCTCCTTTCCTCTTAATTACTAGCGTTAGTGACCCAAAAAAGCACATTCCTAAAGCAATTTCTACTATTTCACATTGCTGTTGTTATACTCATCGTCATTAATGACACAGCCTTTACCAACAGGTCCCAGAGTGGGTTGCAATTTAAAATTCAAAATTTTAAACAGTTAAAACAGTTAACAATCAACGGAATAGAGTGGGCCTTGAAAACCCACATCTCCATCTTTTGCCCAAAGCCACACACATATCTGTGAGGAGGGAATTCCACAATTTAGGGGATTCCACAGAGAATACCATCTTCTGGGCCACCCCCACCCCCAAATCGCAAGGGCTGTGAAACTCCCAAGAGCTTCCCCTCTGCTGACCTTAACACCTGTGAGGTTCTGCAGGGAAGGAGGAGGTCTTTGAGCTATGTGGGGCCTAAGTTATTTAGGGCTTAAAACACTCAAGTGAGTACGAGAAATTGGAGCCAGAAATGAACTGGCAGTCAATGCAGCTCTTAGAACAGGGCCTATATGAGGTTATGTTCAGACTTTATTTTCATACAATCCAGTTTGAGGGAGTGCATGGTTCTGGGGCAGTTAGCTTAGCACAGTATTTGAGTGTGCTCTGTAGCATTCTGTTCAAAAGGACATAGTGAATAATAATAATAATAATAATAATAATAATAATAATAATAATAATAATTTTAAATTTATTGGTCTTTTTTTACCATGGTAATTCAAAGCAACTTTCAATTTATGTACATACGTACATACAAACCCATACATTGAAAGCAGCATGAAAGAAAAAATAAAGGAAAATCCTATTTTTAAAAGGCAGGATTAAAACATTCCACCCACTCAAGGCCAAAGATAATTGAGAGGCAAAGGCCTGGTTAAAAATGATTTTTATATACTGATGGTGCCAGAACATTCCACAAACAAGGAGTCACCACTGAAAAGGTCCATTCCCACATTGCCACCTGTCAGGGAACTGCCATCGGACGGAAGGGAGGTGAAAGGGCTCACACAGGTTGGGAGAGACGTAGCAGCTGAAGAGGGAACCAGCAGGGAGGTGAAAGGGCTCACACAGGTTGGGAGAGACGCAGCAGCTGAAGAGGGAACCAGCAGGGGAGAGGAGCTGAGCTGGAGGGATGGCTCAGAGACACTTCCAGCGAAAACAGTGGAGAGGTTTCAGGACCTCCTGTAAGAACACCCACTCCTCGCCGGAAACTGTCACGCAGAGATTCCAGAAGACGTGTTTCCGTTAAGGAGCTTTTATGTTGGAAGCGATTACGAAAGCAACCACTGTCGGAATCTGCTAGTGACTAGAGGAGCCATGTCTGAGGGGCTCCGTCACAGACAGAGGTTGGTGGACTTGAACAAACTCTGAGGGGATACGATTTTACGCACAAGCAGCTCATCATCCCATCACAGCATTCCGACAGTCTTTGAAAGCAGCTTGTGCAGGAGAAGGCATCATGAGCAACCCAGCCGGAACCGGAGAAGCAGGAGCTGGAGCGGGTCCAAGCCTGGAAGAAAGGTACCGGGTGTTGGAGGTCCAGCTAGCGATGCAGACGGCGAGGCTTGAGGAGAGGAGGGCTCAGGATGCAGACAAAAGGGGAAAGCCACCCAGCTCGCCAGAAAGGTACCAGGATTGGTGCAGAAGTTTGGGGGGGAGCCCAAAAACTATCATGGCTTTCGGACAGAAATGCAATATGCCCTCAATCTGCAGTTTGATGAATTCCCTGACGAGGAATCACGAGTGGCTTTCGTGATTGAGCATCTTGAAAAGGGGGCGAGAGACTGGGTTAGACCCCTGATGGCAGCAAATAGTGACGTCCTAAAGGACACGATGAAGTTCTTTCGCGCCATGGATCTGATGTTTTCCAGCGATATTGAAAGGGAGTGGTGCGCAGACAGTTAATGGCTTGCAAACAGGGGAGCCGATCTGTCCGTGAGTACTGGACTGAGTTCACCATGCTTGTTCACAGATTGGGGTGGGACTTATCGGCGGAACCCATTCAAATGCTCTTTGAAGAAGGGCTTTCTTCGGCTGTGAAAGACGAACTTTCCCGGGCGCCCAGGGCGGAGTCTATGGACCAGCTGACCAAATCAGCGCTGGCCATAGGAGCGCGCCAGGAGGCGAGAGCATTGGAGAGGCGGGAAGGGAAAGGGGAACGTTGGAAGGAGTTCCGCATTCCAGACATTCCAGAGCCAACTTTCCCACCGGCAGAGCCGATGGAAATCGGAACAGCGCGCGCGCGCGCAGTTTCAAAGCCCAGTGAGGGGGGGAAAAAAGGAGGGAAAAGGCGCCCGGAAATGCTATCTCTGCCAACAGCCAGGTCACTTTGCCAGAGTCTGCCCCCAGAGGAAAGAATGGCAAGGGATGGTAGGAGCTGTGGATGGAAGAGAGGAAGAAATACCGGAGCAAGTAAAGCCAACGCCTGGCTGCCACTGTCGGGGCACAGCAGCCAGGCCAAAGAGCAGTGAGAGTGCCCACGCCAGAACCTCCTAAACCCGCCCTAGTGATAGAAGTGACGCTAGAGCTGCCAAACGGACACCCTCTAAAGATAAAGGCGCTGTTGGACTCAGGCAGCTCCTGCAATTTCATGAGCAAAGAGTTTGCAGCTGAACACCAGATACAGACGATCCTTTAAGCAGCCCCCTGCAGGTGACCACGATCGATGGCAGGGAGCTGTTGGGTGGAGAAGTCAGCTTGCAGACCGTCCCAATGATAATGAAGGTAGCAAGGCACACCGAACTGATAGCTTTTAATGTGGCCACCTTGGGAGGAGCTCCCATTATATTGGGGATGAGCTGGCTAGCGTTACATGATCCGCTGGTGGGCTGGCATCAGAGAGTGGTTTCTTTTGGTTCAGCACATTGCTTAGAACACTGCAAAGAGGGAAAGGGTTTGGCAGGGGTCCAAGCCACCCTAGCAGGGACTGAAGTCACAGAGAACGTGAAGGTACCACGACAATATGCAGATCTCCGTGACGTCTTCAGCGAAAGGAAGCTGACCAACTACCCCCGCATAGACCCTTTGACTGTCAAATCAATTTACTCCCTGGAGCACAGCTCCCTGTAGGCAAGCTGTACGCCATGTCAGACAGAGAGATGCAGGAGTTAAGAGAGTTCATTGACAAGAACCTGAAGAGAGGGTTCATCAGAGAGTCCAGGGCGGTGGGGGGGGCAGCCCAGTGTTTTTTGTGGATAAGAAAAACACGAACAAGCCGAGGCTGGTGTGTGACTTCAGGGCCTTAAATGCAGTGTCAGAACCAGTAGCCTTCCCGATGCCCAGGATTGACGACATTTTGACAAGGGTGCGGAAGGGAAAGATTTTCACAAAGCTGGACCTAAGGGGGGCGTACAACCTGGTACGAATAAGGAAGGGGGATGAATGGAAAACCACTATGTTCACCCCTTTAGGGGCATTTGAATATTTGGTTATGCCCTTCGGCCTACAAGCAGGCTCCGCAACATTTCAATCGTTTATGAACCACGTCCTGGGGCCTTTGCTTTACAAGAATTGTGTGGCCTTTTTAGACGACGTGTTGGTGTATTCTGAGAATGAGGAGCAGCATGTGAGAGACGTCAGAGAAGTGTTGAGCAGGCTGCAAGCCAACCAGCTGTGGGTGAAACTGGAGAAGTGTCAGTTTCATACCAAGGAGGTGGAATTCCTGGGGTATCGCCTGTCAGACAAGGGATTGGCCATGGATCCCGGCAAGGTCCAGGCGGTGCTGGAATGGAAAACACCCAAAACAAAGAAGGATGTGCAGAGGTTCCTAGGATTTGGGAACTTCTATCGTAAGTTCATCCGAAACTTTGCCCACCTGACGGCGCCCATTACGGACTGTCTCAGCAGTAAGAAGAAGTTCGTGTGGACTGAGGAGGCGGAGCGAGCATTTGAGGAACTAAAAGGGCCTTCGCCTCGGAACAACAACTCCTGCATGTGGATTTACAAAAACCGATGAGAGTGGAAACTGACGCATCAGACAGAGCGATTGGGGCGGTGCTTCTGCAGCCAGGGAAGAAGGGGTCAGAGTGGAGACCGTGTGCCTTTTTTCGCGAAAGCTGAACAAATCCGAGAGGAACTACACGGTGTATGACCGAGAACTACTAGCCATTCATGAGGCGTTCCGGAGATGGAGGCACCTGCTAATTGGCGCACAACATAAGGTGCAAGTGTGCACTGACCACAAGAACCTAGAGTATTGGAGGACGGCACGAGTGCTCAACCAACGGCAAGTGAGATGGGCCCAGGAATTCTCCAAATTTAACTTTGAGATTAGTTACGTGCCAGGCCCAGAGAACATTAGGGCGGACGCTCTCTCACGCAAACCTGAATATTTGGAGGGGAGGGGCACCCGAAGAGAGACATGTCATTCCAGAGGACCGCTGGGTGTGTGGGGCGGCATTGGTGGGACAAAGAGAACTGGTAGAGGAAACAGAGAATGATGAATACGCCCAGAATAAGCTCAGAGGTCTTAGGGGTGAGGGAGAGGAACCAGGGGTTTCGAGGAAAGAAATGGAGCTTTGTATTACAAAGGGGCACTGTATATCCCTGAAGGAGAGTTAAGGGGAGGGTACTCAAGCAGTTGCACGACAGCCCTACGGCGGGGCATTTTGGACAACACAAAACCATGTGGTTGGTCACCAGGGAATTTTGGTGGCCTAAGGTGAGGGAAGATGTACGTGAGTATGTAAGAGGGTGCGAGCAATGCCAGCGAGCCAAAGGGGAAAGGCGGGCGCCGGCGGGGCTATTAGAACCCTTACCAACCCCAGAACGACCTTGGGAGGCAGTGTCGATAGATTTTATGACTGATCTGCCGAAGTCCAAAGGGAAAACAGCCATCATGGTGGTGGTAGACCTACTAACAAAGATGTGCCACTTTGTAGCTTGCTCGCATGCAGTCACGGCGGAAGAGACAGCGAAGTTATTTGTAGAACACATTTTTAGGTTGCACGGGGTGCCATTGAGGGTGGTCTCAGACCGAGGAAAACAATTTACTTCCAGGTTCTGGAGGAAGCTCATGAGCTTACTGCAGGTGGAGGTCAATTTTTCGACTGCCCGGCACCCTGAAACCAACGGGCAGGCGGAAAGAGCAAACGGTGTCCTCCAGCAATACCTGAGGTGTTATGTCAATGACAGAGAGAATGACTGGGTAGAAAAGTTGGCGCTGGCGGAATTTGCCTACAACAATGCCGAGAATGTGTCCACAGGGATGAGCCCCTTCTTGGCTAATTATGGGTGTCATCCCAGGGCTTTCCCAGGGGAGATGGGGAGAGATGGAGCGTCCCGGCAGCCGAGCATTTTGTGGAAGAAATGGAAGCAATCCATCGTCAGCTCCAACTCAACTTAGAAAGGGCGAAGGAAGAATACAAGAGGCAGGCAGACAAGAACCGAAGGGAAGGTGAAACCATAAGGGTGGGAGATAGGGTGTGGCTGTCAACCCAAGGGTTGCCGTTCAAAGGAGGTTGTAAGAAATTAAGACCCAGGAGGTTGGGTCCCTTTGAGGTCATTCAACAGGTCAACCCAGTGGCTTTCAGGCTCCGGTTACCCAACCACATGAAACTGCACCCAGTATTTCACAGGTCGTTACTGTCACCGTACGAAGGGAGACGAGAAGGGCTGGCCACTCGGGGACCGGTCGTAGAAGAAAGAGAATGCAGCAGCCATGTGGCAGAAATCCTCGACGCCAGGTGGAAGGGGGATCAGGTGGAGTATTTGGTAGCGTGGGAAGGAGAACCGGAGTCAGAAAACACTTGGGTAATGGCCGAAGATATCAATGACGAGGTATTGATAGAAACGTTCCATCAAAGGTTCCCAAGGAAACCTCAGCCTGTGGAGAGGTTCCGGAGGGATACTTTGGGACCACTGATGAAGGGGAGGAGTTGGAAGGATTCCCGGACTCGGAAGGGGAAGGGGAGATGGACTCTGAGGAGGAGGTGTACTTCGAGACCAGGAACCGCAACAGGTTGAGAGAAGTGTTCGAGACATCGGAAGATGAAGGAAGTTCATTCAGGGTTTTGCCTCCTCACCGCCCGTAGAGGAGGGGCGAGAGGGGGTGAAGGGGGCCCTGGAGGGAGGTGGATGTCAGGGAACTGCCATCGGACGGAAGGGAGGTGAAAGGGCTCACACAGGTTGGGAGAGACGTAGCAGCTGAAGAGGGAACCAGCAGGGAGGTGAAAGGGCTCACACAGGTTGGGAGAGACGCAGCAGCTGAAGAGGGAACCAGCAGGGGGAGAGGAGCTGAGCTGGAGGGATGGCTCAGAGACACTTCCAGCGAAAACAGTGGAGAGGTTTCAGGACCTCCTGTAAGAACACCCACTCCTCGCCGGAAACTGTCACGCAGAGATTCCAGAAGACGTGTTTCCGTTAAGGAGCTTTTATGTTGGAAGCGATTACGAAAGCAACCACTGTCGGAATCTGCTAGTGACTAGAGGAGCCATGTCTGAGGGGCTCCGTCACAGACAGAGGTTGGTGGACTTGAACAAACTCTGAGGGGATACGATTTTACGCACAAGCAGCTCATCATCCCATCACACCACCCTCCAGATCTTCCGGCTCTCTTTGGCAGAGGGGGGTGGAGGGAGGGCAGGGGCAAGGCAGGATCTGCACCCAGATCGCCTGCATGGCTGTCTTTGACAGATTTCAATTTCAATGGGGGGGGGGGTGAGACAAAAAAAGTCCACACCGGGTACCACCTGACCTTGATGCTGCACTGGTCCACAATTGACTGTCCCTCTTTGATTAGGATTAATTCTTCTTTGGTCTTCTATTTTCTTACCGTTTCCCTTTGATTTAGAAATTATTGCCTCTCCGAATACTTTTTAGAAAGATACCATATATGTGTATGTATATGTATATAATAAGTGTGTGTGTGTGTGTGTGTTCACATGTGAAAATGACTTGCAGCTCTTTTTGAAGTTATAAACAGTAATGTTTCGGTAGCGTAAAATCCCTTTGTTTACTTAAAAAAATCTAACCTAAACTGTTTTCAGTCGTGTTTACAAACCTGTTTCACCTTCCCCAGCCGGGTCTCTTTCCTAATCCCTCTGCCCCTTAACTCCTTCAGCTTTGACCAGTGAGAGGGCTAACACCAGTAGCATAGCCAGGGACAGGCTCACTCACTGGACTGTGACTCGCTCCCTCCACCACCTGTTGGTCATAATGACACATAAAAAAGTCCCTGGCAGCATTAATCCAGTGGGTGCAAATGTCTTCATTTTCAGCATGCAATCATTGCAGGGCTTTGGTGAGGAATTAGTATTTTCTTCCCACATTAATACATTCTGGAAATAAATAAGTGCCTTTCACACTGCTCCTTTCTTCATCTTATTATTAAGGTGACTCCCTCGCCATTTCATCTTGACCCACACTTGAATAAACCTTCAAACAGATGTGTGTTTACTTAGAAATTAGAGCTGGTATATTCTATTGGCCTTACCCCTTTGTTATGTACTGAGTTGAATAGGATCGAAACTGCAGCAGTCTGATTGGTCCTAGAACAATAGGATTCAGAATACAGCAGTCTGATTGGTCCTAGAACAATGCAGCAATATGATTGGTCGGCAGGAGCCACCCAATCCAGCTCCAGATAGAAGTGAATCCACAACCTGATTGGTCTACAGGAGAATTCCGGAATTAGCCAATCACGTGCAGCCCATTGTGTAAATAATGTATATAAAGCAGATACTTTGAGGGGACTTTCATTCCCTCCTCACCACTATGAGCTGAATAAAGAGCATGAAATCCACTCTCGACTCTGAGTATATTTCACCCTTCATGTTTTTAGGATTGCAGCTGAAGATGTTGGATCGGGGAGGGCATGCTCATCACTTCTTGCCACTTATTAACCCATCACACTCTTGCGTGACCACTGCAAAAAAGGGCTGAGGGAAAAGCTAGGGGAAGAGGGGCTGGCTTTGGACCATGGGCCAAGCCAAGGTGGCAGCAGTGGCGGAGCTGGGTGCTCTGGTACTCGGAGTAGCACCCATGCTGTGCACTTGGGGGTGAGGACAATCCACCCAAGGGGCCGATCGGTGTGGCTGCATAATTCTCCCCGGGGGCCTTCAAAGAGATGTGTGTTTACTCAGAAATTAGTCCTGCAGGCAGGGAGCTGTTCCCTCAGCCCTGCTCCACAGCGGCCTGCACGCCTTGCTGCCAAGGAAGATGGACTTTTCCCATCACTGACAAGCAGAGAAGGCTACCCCCGCCCATGAGGGACTGAAAGAGGGACTTTCACTGAAGCCATTCTGCAGATGGGGTGTGTTAGTTGAACTTAGATTTAACTTCCGAAGACCAAAGAGAGGGAACTGAACCTGAAGGACTCTAGTTCATGTATGATATGTGTGTGCACACTGCGGGGACATGAAAAAGGAACCTCCTAACATCTCCCCAGAAGCCCAGTACAGTGGTACCTCAGGTTCAGAACTTAATTCGTTCTGGAGGTCTGTTCTTAGCCTGAAACTGTTCTTAACCTGAAGCACCACTTTAGCTAATGGGGCCTCATCCCGAAGCAAAGTTCTTAACCCGAGATACTATTTCTGGGTTTGTGGAGTCTGCAACTGGAAGCGTCTGTAACCCGAGGTACCACTGTATCTTTGCCAGAACAAGCGCCAGAAAATAAGGACCTTGTCTGTCGGAGCATATTGTTGCATGCAACCGCAATCTCCAAGCGGTGAAAGATTCTAGGCATTCTTTTTTAAAAAAGTTTTTATTGAGTTTTACAATTTTATCATATTACAACATATCAAATCATCAAAATAAAAGGTGTACATTTCCCCAGTCCCCCACCGACTGCCCTAACCCTTCTCTTCTGTTTCCCCCCCCCCATATTGACTTCCCCTGCTTGCTTTCTTATATCTTCATATGGATTCTCACAGGTTATTGTTATCTCTTATCGTTTTAACATCATCTTTATAGTTTTTATATTTATTTTTATAGTTTTTTTACAGTATATATAGTTTTTATATTTATTCTCTTGTGGTTTTCCCCCCATATTGACTTCCCCTGCTTGCTTTCTTCTATCTTCATATGGGTTCTCTATATAAATGATTGTTATCTCTTATCGTTTTAACATCATCTTTATAGTTTTTATATTGATTTCTGTTAACTGCAAGTGTTTTCTCAAACCCTACCCGTGAGTCCTTTTCTTTACATTGTTTCTGTAATGGTTCTCAGTCTTTTTTAAATTCTCCATTGTCTTTGTCTCTGAGTTTTTCTGTTCATTTCGCCTTTTCAGCATATTGCATCCGTTTTTGTAGCCATTCTTCTTTAGTTGGTATTTCTTCCCTTTTCCATCTTTGGGCAGGTAACATCCTAGCCGCAGTCGTGGCAAGACTAAAGAGCTTATCCTTTTCTCTTGGCAGCTCTGGACCTGAACTCCCCTTCCCCGCCCCCTCCCTCGCCTGCCAGCCAATCCGCTGGCTGGGGGGCGTGGCCGGGCCCCATTTAAACCGAGGCGCGAGCCGGAGAGCTTCCTCCAACTGCCGGCTTCTGCCTTTCTTGGTCTCTCTCGCTGGGGCTTGGCTCCCTCGGCCGCTGCGGGCAGAGCTGCTGCCCCAACCCCCGAGCTACAGCGGAGAGCAGATCTGGGGGCGCCCTTATAGCCGCTCTGCCGCTGCCACGGGAGGGAGAGCCGCCTATTGGAGCCATCATTACACCCCCTTCTACTCTTAGGTTGCCCAGCTGTGTGAGTGAAGGGCAAGGGGCTGCTTCGTGGCTCTGCGCAGCCACTGGGACCTTTCCTCAGACCTAAGAGTGTGTGTGTGTGTGTGTGTGTGTGTGTGTCTGTCTGTGTGTCCGTGTGTCCCGCCTTCCCTGCATCCCATATAGTCCATTTGCTCCATTTCCTCGCTTGGCCTCCTGGGCGCCTGTCGGTCTTTGCTTGCTTTGGGAGAGCGAAGTGGGTTAATTTCGCGGAGCTTTATTGGGGGGGGGGCAGTTGATTTCCTTTCCTGACAGTTAACCCTTTCTTCGCCCACCGGCTTTTGCTGTGTTATTCTGCCGGCTGCAGGGCTTCCTCATAGCGAGCTTCCCTTCCTTTCCTGACAGTTAACCCATTGGTGTTAGCCGCTCTGGGCGAGGTATAAATAATTGTTTTTATTATTATTTCTTCGCCCACCGGCTTCTGCTGTCCTGAGGCGTCCGTGTTGTTTTTGGCCACGTGGGTTTCATTACAAGCTCTGTTTACGGTTTACCGTTTACGGTTAACGGTTACGGCGGCCATTTTTGAAGTGGGCAAACGACCTATATTCTACAGTTCTGCGAAGCTTGGCTGTGGGCCGCCATTTGGTCGCACTCCTGATCCGAGGGCGACCCATCAAAGTCTGCTAAACACGTAGTCGCATTCAGCTGCAGCACTAGTAGCAGCCGTGTTAAAACTGCCTTTTGGCTCGGTTTTCTTGTACTTAAGGCCTTGGGCTCGGGGTAAATTTTGCGCCGGTGTGCGGGATTGTCGGGTCTTCTTGCTGCATTGGCCCCTAGTGAGCCGCTTCCATTATAAGTAAATGTGTGCTGAAGTTGATTTATTTACTTAATTTTGATTAAATATCACTTGTTCTTTTTATTTTTACACAATTAAAATTGATTTCCAGAATTTTGATTCTAAGTGAAGCTTTAAAGCATAATTAATACTAATATAAACAATAAATTTGAAATAAAAATACAAGAAAGAAATACATGTAAGTCTGCGCTTCACTGCATTGTCCCTCTGTATTTGAATCTGGTTACTTTGCTTATGTGGTTAGCACCAATCACGTTTTGGGTTGCTGTTTTGTTTGGGTGTTTTGCATTCAGTACAGAGGAATCTTTTTAGTGGTGCAGCAAGAAAACTGCTGGCACACTTGCAAAGCTAAGCAGCGCCCTGGATGGTTTCAAGTTGGATGGGGCACCACATTTGGTCTTCAGACCTGATTTAGAGGATGTAATTGAAGGTTAACTATACAACAGCTGGTTCATTTTATCACTTGGGTTCCTTGGGTGGGCTCACTTTATCAGGCTGCGGTGTGTTTAAGAAGAGTTTAGTGGATCAAAACACCTCAGCTTAGTTAAATCACTTAGAATTTTTATTGCTTAATTTGGTCTAGCACTAATTACTGTTACAGGCACTCAGGATATTTGGCAGTTGAATCATTTGAAGATTGCTTCAGTTCATATTGTAACTGCCTGGTCAATAATTCTGAGCCAAGCTTGCCTGCGCATCTGGTTCTGAACCAATCAGGGCAACAGGTTTTTTCTGTGGTAGTTCTAGAACTGTGATTGGGGTTGTCTCATGGCTCCCAAGAAGAACCAGGCATCCGCTGCTGCCGGCACTGGGTCGAAATGTGCTCCAGCTACCAGGGCCCGGTCCCAGTCAGCCCAGTAAGGAAGGGGTTCCTCACTTGCAGGGCAGGCAGTAGGGCCATTGGAGTCAGCATTGGCAGGTATGGCAAAAGACCCACGGGTGATGCGCCAGTTTTTTGCTGAATTGGATACCTTGATGCAGCAGTTTAGGCCTGAGGACGTGAGCCAAGATGCAGACCCTGAGTCTACCCCGATTTTATTCCTGACACTGCAGCCAGTGCTTCCAGTGGGTCTCAGACCAGTGATGAGTCTGAGGAGCTGCCTGGTACGTCCCAGGCTCCCTCTATTTAGTGATATGCAGCTTTCCGGCTCGGCATCTCAGCCTACGTCTTCTGCACCCAAGCCCAGAGTAACATGCCCTTCACTGCATCGCACCCGCGTCACACGAGAGTCTTCTCATGCTCAGCACGGGGCGGCAGCACAGTCATGGCGCACAGGCGCTAGGGTCACCTGATCCACAGGCAAGACGGCTTCTCCTTCCCAATCGTCCTCTGGGTGGCAACCCTCTTTTAACATCGCTCTTGACTCATTTCCTCGATCTTCCCTCCCTCCCTCCCTCCCTATTTTCAGGTTTCGAATTTGGCCTTGCTATGGACCTCGGTTAGTCACCGTTGAGGGGCCTGGTAGGAATTTTTCCACTTGGCAAATTGGCACGGGCCATTTGGTTTTCGCCTACCTCGTAGTAATCGTCACAACTTTGTAAGGTTTGGCGGTTAGGCATTGGTTGATCTTATGATGGAGGAGGGGAGGTGTGGCCATCACCTGCCCCTTCAATCTTAAAGGTATTCCGTTAAAGGAATCCGGGGGTGTGGACCTTGTCTGAAGTCCAGGACTAGGCTCACCCTACAGAAAAATAGGAATACCTATTTATCGTGTTTCCAAAGGTGCTGTGCACCCGGGGTTGGGGCTAGCCACCTGCAGGGGCAGCGCCAGAAGTGAGCAGTTAGCGTCCCAGGGGGGTGCTGCCCGCGGCGAACATTTCGCTTCTGCGTCACCGCGGAGCGCAACCCGAAAGTGCTCAGCCTGAAGCAACTTCAACCCGAGGTATGACTGTACTTAACTTGAGGCTCATGCCTCAAGTTTATTAAAAATCTTTGCATCCTATATCTACTCAAGTATTTTTAAGTCCCCTTCAGCAGATGTAGACCAAGTCTGATGCATCATAAAGGCTACAATCCTACATACACTTAGCTGGGAATAGGTCCTTTTGAACCAATTTGGGTTTACTCCAGAGTAGATAAGCATAGGGTTGCATTGGAAATCCCTCTGTTGACACTTTTTATTTCAAAAATATCTTTTTAATTTTGCAGGCTTGCCACGTGACCTCCAAAAACAGACTCACCGTTATGAGAAAGCACATCAAATCTAGCCTTGAAACAGAGGCCTCCTTGCACGATAGTTTGGTTGTACCTGCCAATCTGAAAGCAAGCAAACATAGACACTGAACTTTCTAAGTTGCCAGAACACCTGCCATCAAAGTTGCATCTGCACCTGCATCACACAAGTTGTCAACAAAGTTGCATCTGCCAAGGTCTCTCCCCAATTCTCCTTGCTTCATGATCCACCATTTACTGACAGAAGATTGGTAAGCAATTGATCATGGATTGTTAAAAAACAAAAAAAACATAAACACCACCCTACATAGCAAGCTCCACAGCATGTTTCCCCCATAAGGTCACCTTGTCTGTTACCTTTGCAGGGAGAATTGCTCCTCCAGTAGTGTCTGGAATGCAGGCAGACAAGATGCATAGAGAGACTTCTCACACCAGTAAGTCGGAACGCTAGGAGGGGAAGTAGGCACCAAATCCAGCCGACCTAGACACACACCAGTGATGCATCAAGTGAGCATCTTCCCAGCAACAGCACATTGCCGTGGTGCTTGAAATGGTCCTTTGGTGCAATGGTGGAGTTAAAATTCAAGCTCAGCCACTGATGTCACCCTCCTCCCATGCTAATACTTTGGCTTAAGAAAAGGGAGCCAGTCATTATTTGGGCAATGTGGGATAGAGAGGGATAGCGAGACAGAGGGATAGCAGTTGCATTGGAAGAAAGCATGGACACCGCAGGGGCTTGAATTCCGTCCTGGGAACCAGGAGTACCAACCACCAGTGTCTTTTGCTTTTTTTTTTTTTTTTTTTTTTTGAGTAATGCAACAAGGGGAAAAGCAAAACCTGAGAGAACATTCACAGGGGAAAATAAAACCTTAAGATGTTAAGAAGAGCTCTTTGGAGAGAACTGTGGAGAGAGCAACAGAAAAGAAAATGGGAAAAAGGAGACACCAATACAAAAAACATGTTGTTGGAAAAAGACCACTGAGTGGTGGAATGTGAACTTACCTAAAGCAGCACAGCCCAAATGCAGGTGACTCTCACTTCAGTTACAGTGAACTCTGGGAAGCCTGAAGGAAAGAGGAGCTGGAACAAAGGAAGAAGTCTTCTCCTACCTGCAGGTGAGCTTCATGGTGGTGATGCAGAATAGGGCCACTTCTGACAACTCAGTCACCGCAACCCGATAAGAGTTTTGGCACAATGAGTTGCAGACGGAACACAGTAGAGATTTTCTCCCTAGCCAAGAAAGGCATACTCTGGGAAGCCTGAAGGAAAGAAGAGATGGAACAATAGAAGAAGTGTTCTCCTACCTGCAGGTGAACCTTTTCTTACCACCATGACTTCTGGGATGCAGCTGGAAGAGCTGGCTTCATTTGAGGGTTGGGAGCTCTTTGGAGATACCTGTGAAGAGACCACCAGAAAAGAAAACGGGGGAAAGGAGAGACCAATACAAAAAACATTGTCTTGAAGAAAGACCACTGAGTGGTGGAATGTGAACTTACCTAAAGCAGCACAGTCCAAATTGTGAACTCTTGGAAACTTGAAGAGCTGCAACAAAAGAAGTGTTCTCCTACCTGCAGGTGAGCCTCATTGTGGTGACATGGAATAGGGCATTTTCTGACAACTCAGTCACCTCAACCTGAAAGAGTCTTAGCACAATGAGTTGCAGACGGAACACAATAGAGATTTTCTCCCTAGCCAAGCAAGGCATACTCTGGGAAGCCTGAAGGAAAGAAGAGATGGAACAAAAGAAGGGTTCTACCTGCAGGTGACCCTTTTCTTACCACCATGACTTCTGGGACTCAGCTGGAAGGGCTGGCTTCATTTGAAGGTTGGGAGTTGTTTGGAGATACCTGTGAAGAGACCACCAGAAAAGAAAACGGGTAAAAGGAGAGACCAATACAAAAAACATGTTCTTGGGGAAAAAAGACCACTGAGTGGTGGAATGTGAACTTACCTAAAGCAGCACAGTCCAAATGCAGGTGACTCTCACTTCAGGTACAGTGAACTCTGGGAAGCCTGAAGGAAAGAAGAGATGGAACAAAAGAAGTCGTCTCCTACCTGCAGGTGAACCTCATTTTGGTGACACAGAATAGGGCTTCTTCTGAAAACTCAGTCACCGCAACCTGAAAGAGTCTTTGCACAATGAGTTGCAGACCGAACACTATAAGAGACTTTCTCCCTAGCCTAGGAAGGCATACTCACCTAAATGTCCTTCAGTCATGGAATGCCATTTTGACTGCCATTTTTATTTGAAGCTGGATGAGCCTTTGATCTAGAGGGGCACAACAGAGAGATGAGATTCAGACTTAAATCTCTGCCGTTAAGCTTGGTATGAAAGAAGGAAGACTGTTCACCCTTTTGTTTGTCCATCTGAGGGTGACATTGTGTCCTGCAGATCCTATTCTTGGTCTGCGATCTAGAGTCGCTAGTTTCTCCCCAGCCACCTTTCACCAATCCTACAGAAAATGAATTTCAAAAAAACAAACAGCTTTTCTTACCACCATGATTTCTGGGACTCTGCTGGAGGAGCTGGCTTCATTTGAGGGTTGCGAGCTATTTGGAGAGACCTTCGAAGACACCACCACAAACAAAAATGGGAAAAAGGAGAGACCGATACAAAAAAAATTGTCTTGAGAAAAGGCCACTGAGTGGTAGAATGTGAACTTACCTAAAGCAGCGCAGCCCAAATGCAGGTGACTCTCACTTCAGGTACAGTGAACTCTGGGAAGTGTGAAGGAAAGAGGAGCTGGAGCAAAAGGAGTGTTCTACCTGCAGATGAGCCTCGTGGTGACACAGAATAGGGCTTCTTCTGGCGATTCAGTCCCCGCAACCTGAAAGAGTCTTAGCACAAAGAGTCGCAGATGGAACACAATAGAGATTTCCTCTCTAGCCCGAGATCCAGAAACCCTAGTTTGTCCTACCAGCAGGTGAACCTCATTGTGGTAACACAGAATAGGACCTACTCTGTAGTGGCACCCTGATGGCAGAAGTTCCTTCGATTGGAAGCACAGAAGATGACCACATTGGTTTTTCAAGTTCTCTTCTCTTCTGAAAAGAAATGAATAAATGAACAAGATTGCTCAATACAGGCCCCGTGGGAACCTTCGTTTGTATTTTATGTGTTACTACATTTATATCCTACCTTTCGTCCAATGAGCTGAAGGTGGTGTGATGGTTGTATCGTGACCAAAAAGAGCCTTAGCAGAAAGAGCTGCGGATGGAACACAATATAAATTTTCTTTTCAGCGAAGCAAGAGATGCTCGCCTAGATGCCATTTATTCAGAATGCATCTGTATTGTTCCTATCATTATGATCTAGCATTCAGACATCACTTGTTAGGTATTTGTGTGTGTTGCCACCTCTGAAAAGTCAAGATTATTTGATAGTTACCTTCCTTCAACAAGTGAGATGTTAAAGGCAAAACAAGCAATTAGTTAGATCTAGTTTTTAAATCGTTATTTTAAAAGTATCACCTTGAAAACAGAAGTACTGGAGATGATCCAAGGTTTAATATTATAGAGTCAATGCTGTGTGAGCTATGAACTAAATAGCTTTTCCTAGAAGTTGCTTAGCAAAAATAAAACAATTTTTAAAGTCCAAAAACATGGTTGCAGCGTATGAAATTTTCAGTGAAACTAGGTTGTAATGAGAGTTACTGAGTTATTGCAGTCACAGCCACATTGTGTACTGGTGATTGTTTTGCCTGCCCTGTTTGCATTGTTACCTTTTGAGGTCCATTTCCCATATTTTACATAATTTTCTGCACAGGTGGTATAATGGTCCCCCTCATTATTTCATCCTCACTACAACCCTGTGAGAGGTAGGTTAGGCTAAGAGGCAGTGACTGGCCCAACGTCACCCAGGAATAGCTTTCCTCAGAGAAATAATAACTTTCACGCAGGGTCCTGGAGTTGCTATGTCCCTGAGTAGCTGCTCTGCATTTCCTCCTCCACAGAAGCCAAAGCCAAACCACCTCTTTCTTATCATTGCCATCAGCAGCTTCATCGTCCAAATGACTTCTTTGCTTTTCCACACTGGAATTGGCAAAGTCACCTTCAATTTGCTTGTGGTTTTTCTCTTCCTAAAATGTGGGCATGTTTGGGACCTTATGGATTTAGAAACAGCTCAAGGAACAAAAAAACCCTCAACAATATTTTGGTGCCCATCTTCTGCAATTCCCCCATAGCTTCAAAATAGGTAAAATACTCTGACCCGTGATGAATGCATTTTGCTGTTGCTGCAGTTTCTGCTGCTATTTGCGGCACTTGCTATTCCCCAAAATCTTGGCACGCTCATCCTAAGAGAGGCTTACAGATGCTAGATGCCACTCTCAGGGCTAGTTAGATTGAAAAGTAAGCAAAACCTGATTTATCCCTTTCATATTCCTTCATTTTCTCTTGGCTGCTCCAGTTGTCACATGGCTTTTTTTGTTTTGTTTTGGTGATTATCCTTAAAATCTTCATCTTGGGATTTTTCTGAATTTTCAGTTTAGATTTTGCTTGGCTAAGCTTTCTTTTGGGGACTTCTGTTCTCATCCTGAAGCAAAATTCTTAATCCGAGGTACTATTTCGGGGTTAGCGGAGTCTGTAACCTGAAGCATCTGTAACCCGAGGTACCACTGTAATCAAAACCTTTCTAACTAAATGAAATTTTATCTTCCCACAAAGAAAACAGATGCAGAAATGTGCAAAGAGAAAAACAAGAACCAAAGAATGATTTGCCCATACACAACACTTGATACTGCTTCTTCCTTTCTCTGCCATCCCCTCTTACAAACAACCCTTCATCTCATGTGCTGCCAGGTTTTTTAAACTTCTGGGTCATTACAATCTTTATGAACATTCCATTATACCTCAGCAGTAGAGCCAATGGGGAAGGAAGGCTGTTGTCTGTATGTGTTTGCTTACACACCCAGAAGTGTCTCATTGCAACCTCAATCAAACCAGCTCTGCAGAGATGCTTTCCTAAGAAAGAGGCTCAAGGCTGCCACTATCATTTATATTAGGGCTAAGATAAATAGTATGTTGGGGACGCAGGTGGCGCTGTGGGTTAAACCACAGAGCCTAGGACTCGCCGATCAGAAGGTCGGCAGTTTGAATCCCTGCGACGGGGTGAGCTCCTGTTGCTCGGTCCCTGCTCCTGCCAACCTAGCAGTTCGAAAGCACGTCAAAGTGCAAGTACATAAATAGGTACCGCTCTGGCGGGAAGGTAAACGGTGTATCCGTGCGCTGCTCTGGTTTGCCAGAAGCGGCTTAGTCATGCTCGCCACATGACCCAGAAGCTGTATGCTGGCTCCCTCGGCCAATAAAGCGAGATGAGCGCCGCAACTCCAGAGTCGGCCATGACTGGACCTAACGGTCAGGGGTCCCTTTACCTTTACCTTACATAGTATGTTATTCACATACTTTAAAAAACTGTGCATAGACGAAACATTTTTATTTTGTAGACTAGAGCAGCCATGGAGCGGTGATTTTTCACCAGTCTGCGGATATATTAGGGTTTATGGATGTTTATTTTTCAAAACAAAAGTGGCCAGTTTAAGTGAGCTTCCCCTCCTCTTCTGAACTTCAGCCACTCTGGCTGGGACTGTTGGGCAACTGCCAACGGCCACTATTTCCCCATCCCAGTGTACAGCCACTATTTCCCCATCCCAGTGTCTTTTTGACCTGCAGCTCCCGATAGACATGTGTTTACTTAGCTGAGATTTCAAATTGTAACCGCAGAATAAATTCTTTAATAGGCCAACAAATGAAGACATTGTGCACTGTAGCCTCTACTGCCTTTATTATGTTCCTTATGCTCCCCGCCCCCTACTGTTACTGTCAGGCACCTTGAAGGTTTGTCATCAGGCAGAAAGGTAAAATGAAAATATTTCAGATAAAATAAATACATAAAACAAATACACAAACGCCTTATCAACTTCTCCTCCCCTGCCTGAAGATATTCCATTTCAAAATACACATTTCCCCACGATCAACAGCAATGCGCCATTTTTGTCATGTGGAAAAGACAGGGAAGAACAGGCCAAATCTATGCAATGATGTTTTCTTAGAGGGGAACAGCCAGGGGTTTAGGAGTTTAGGGTTTAGAGGGGAACAGCATGGATCAACCAGCTTAAATCTGCCCTTGAAGCAGCTCCTTGGCATCTGAAAATAAAAGGTATGGCTCAGACTTAAAGCAGCACACCAGACAGCAGCTTTTCTCTGGTTCTTAATGACCACAATGGCAATTTGAAAGAGGTGTTCCCGCTCCCCTGAGCTTGCCTTAAGTGAAGGCAGAACTGGCACAGATAAGATGATAAGATTTTTCACTCATTGTTTGACATTTGGCCAAGGTTAATTGTGCGTTTCCCCTTTAGTGGTTAACTACCATTGCCTCATCACTTACTGAGATGATCGTTCCAAATATAGCCACATACAGCTGCAGCAGAGGGAACGAAGTTAAGCGGGGTTCCCATCCGCTTTTCCGAGAAACCAGCTCCATCAGAGTCCTCTCTCCTATCAAGTCATCTAACAGCAGCCATTGTCGGTGATCTCAGTGGCTCAGAGTGTCCATTGCCAACTTCAGATGGAGCACTGCTCTCCCCCTCGTCCCTCCCAACCCCTTTTCCTTTTGTGCCACACCTTTTAGAGTGCAAACCTGAAGACAAGGGCTGTCTTGCTTTTGACCTTTGTAAGCCACTCAGAGCATGGGAGGGGGGCTTGAAGAGTGAGGCAAATATGTCCCTCCCCCCCAAAAAAATTATTCCATGCTCTTCTCAAGACAAGCACCCAAGTCTGCATAGTTTATATGCTCAAACACACTAATATATACATACTATGTAAATCACAAAGCCATGGTTTCCCCGGTAGTGATGTATGGAAGTGAGAGCTGGACCATAAAGAAGGCTGATCGCCGAAGAATGGATGCTTTTGAATTATGGTGCTGGAGGAGACTCTTGCGAGTCCCATGGACTGCAAGAAGATCAAATGCATCCATTCTTAAGGAAACTAGCCCTGAGTGCTCACTGGAAGGACAGATCGTGAAGCCGAGGCTCCAATACTTTGGCCACCTCATGAGAACAGAAGACTCCCTGGAAAAGACCCTGATGTTGGGAAAGATGGAGGGCACAAGGAGAAGGGGACGACAGAGGATGAGATGGTTGGACAGTGTTCTCGAAGCTACAAACATGAGTCTGACCAAACTGCGGGAGGCAGTGGAAGACAGGAGTGCCTGGCGTGCTCTGGTCCATGGGGTCACGAAGAGTCGGACACGACTAAATGACTAAACAACAACAACAAAATGTAAATCACGCAATGGCATCATGCAATGTGGGGGGGGAAACACCACTTGATGACTTATGAATGAGCCCTCGCCATCCACTGAAGGGAGTGGATTGACATTGTGAACAGGTGTTATTCATTATAGAAGCAGCAGATGTATTAAGTTACATCTGGCAAAAGGTAACCGGTTTTTTTTCCGTTTTACAAGCGGCGAAAGAGCTCTGAGCAGCTCCACAGCGCCATCTACTGTATCGATGATGAATAACATCAATTCACAATGTCAATCCACTCCATTCATAAGCTGTCAAGTGGTGTTCCCCCTACCCACTGCATGATGCCCTTGCATCATCTCTACATAGTACAGTGGTACCTTGGTTTCAAACTTAATCCATTCTGGAAGTCCATTCCAAAACCAAAACGTTCCAAAACCAAGGCGTACTTTCCCATAGAAAGTAATTCAAAATGGATTAATCCGTTCCAGACTTTCAAAAACAACCCTTAAAACAGCAATTTAACATGAATTTTACTATCTAACAAGACCGTTGATCCATAAAATGAAAGCAATAAAAAATGCACTGCAGTCACACAGTCAATCAGTAGCTGAACTGGGTTCCACACCGTCACAAAAACAAAACAAAAAAGCCGGAAAAACAGACAAACCTCAGTGTAACACTCACATTGGAAGCATAACACTCAAAACAGCACGTTCGCAAATCGGAACACTTACTTTGTTCTGGGTTTGCAGTGTTTGGGTACCAAGTTGGCTTCCAAGGCGTTTGAGAACCAAGGTACCACTGTACGTATATAAGCCAAAGAACCCGCTGTAGGTAAAACAATAAAGTTTATTATTTAGACAAGGAATAAGGTGATGATTTAAGTATATATTATATACGTTGTTAAGCTACAAAACGCCCCCCCCCCCAAGTCTTGGACTCTCTTGAGACGCTCCTTTGATACTTCCTTTTCACATTCCTAAGGATGTGTTCCCCACTGTTTGTTCCTGCAAAAGACAATAACAAGTAATTGCTAGCATGTTATCGATATTAGGATGTAAACAAAAAAACCAGGAACTGGCAGGAAGACATTTTTGAGGCAACAGACTAAAACCCATCCATGCCTGTCTCTCCATTTTAAGGGTTGTATAAACACTAAATAAAAACCCACAGACACCTGAGGAGGTGTCTGACTTACCTGTAACCTGTGAAACTTACCTGTAACTATCTGATGTCCCTCCTTTCTATGACGTATTTCTGATGTATGACTGATGTTCTTACAGGCCAGGCCGTGGGGAGATCCGACTCAAAAGGTATAAAAATTCTGGTTTCCTTTTGTTCTGGGTTCTTCTCCCTTCTGTGTGTTGGGACCCTGTTGCAACAGCTTATTTTCTATTAGGACGTGGGTGGCGCTGTGGTCTAAACCACTGAGCCTATTGGGCTTGCCGATTGGAAGGTTGGTGGTTCGAATCCCCGCGACGGGGTGAGCTCCCGTTGCCCTGTCCCAGCTCCTACCAACCTAGCAGTTTGAAAGTGAAAGCACACCAGTGCAAGTAGATAAATAGGTACCGCTGCGGCAGGAAGGTAAATGGCATTTTTGTGCGCTCTGGCACTTGTCACAGTCCTCTGTGCACCAGTAGCGGTTTAATCCTGCTGGCCACATGACCCAGAAAGCTGTCTATGGACAAACACCAGCTCTCTCGGCCTGAAAGCGAGATGAGCGCCACAACCCCATAGTTGCCTTTGACTGGACTTAACCGTCCAGGGGTCCTTTACCGTTTACCTTTTATTTTCTATTAATAAAGATTAGGCTTATTAGCTGCCTAGCTTCCAGATACTCTTCTTGGCCTCTGTTTCTTCTCTCCAACCAATAGAGGCTTTCCTGAGTCTATATAGGGCTCTAGAAACCCCATAAGGGAGATAGCGGGGTTATTTTTTCTTATAACACTACATTTAACATAGATAAGAGACAGCAGAATTACAGCCTGCTTCAATTTATAAGCTAAGAGAAAGGCATGTTAAACAAACGGGCAGCAGAGGGCACTCAGAGTCCACCTGGTCTATTTTTAAATCCTTAAAGTCAGGTATGATTTCATTTAGTGAGATTGGTCACAGGTTCAGCCTGGGTACAGAGGATACAAGCATGGACTTTATTTCTGACATTTTATAATGTCAAACTCATTTAAATCCTGATAGTTCTAATGCTTACATAGCAAAATCAGAACTATTGGTATTGACTTGGAACTCTTGTATAATTCAAGTGTGCAATATATTTATTATAATATTCAAATCAGATTAAGGGACATTGGAAAACAAAACATTGAGTCAACTGTAAATAAAATTTGCTGCCCCAAATTTTATGATTTAAATCCGACAGATAACAGGGTCACTTATATTTCAAAATTAATAATTGCAGTCCAATGCAGGGCCTTGACATTAGCCCAACAATGTTTCCCCTCAGCTTTTGTCAAGGGCAGATATTTAAGCATCTCCAGAAATGATAGACATTCCAGATGTTTTTTGAATGTGCCAGGCACAGTAGAACATATTCTTTTCTGCTGTCCATTGTACAACCAGCTACACAAACACGTGCTATCCCCTTTTCTGGGTAGTCTAACATCATGGCATAATGAAAATATCAGTTTCTATCTGTCTGACATTAACCCAGAAGTAACTGCAAGGGTGGCCTGCAAGGGTTTTTATCAATAGCATCTCCACAATAAAGTGGTGAATGGCACTATTTAGCGGGAGGAAACCCCAATGAAAATCCTCGTTATTGCATATTTTTACATGGCTGTTTATTTGTATATATTTTAAATTTTATACATGGACATTTTTATGATGGCCTATATTTGTAATGCCTAATAAAGGTTTGGCAAAGTAAATAAGTAAAACAACATTCCTTTTTGCCCCATGTAAAATGCCCTCTGCTTTTAGGTTGGCCAGTCTGGAGAATTTCCCACGAGCTTCAAAAATGGAATAAGTCACATCAGGCAAGAGAGAGGGCAAAAAGTGGTACATTGGGCACCTGTGCAGCAATTGAAACGTACCGGCAGACATGAGTCTGGAAGAGAACATGAAGATGGGCTAGACTCATGTTAAGTTCTGAAGTGATCAGTATGGTTCTGCGCATGCCTTCCTTAAGGAAAATATTTTCCCCAGTAGCTGGATTGTCAGAGTTTTAAGGTATTATTAGTTGAAGCAGTGCCAGATTTACACATAAACTAAACAAGCTATGGGGACGCGGGTGGCGCTGTGGGTTAAACCACAGAGCCTAGGACTTGCTGATCAGAAGGTTGGCAGTTCGAATCCCCGCGATGGGAGTTCGGTTCCAGCTCCTGCCAACCTAGCAGTTTGAAAGCATGTCAAAGTGCAAGTAGATAAATAGGTACCGCTCCGGAGGGAAGGTAAACGGCGTTTCCGTGCGCTGCTCTAGTTTGCCAGAAGCGGCTTAGTCATGCTGGCTACATGACCCGGAAGCTGTACGCCGGCTCCCTCGGCCAATAAAGCGAGATGAGCGCCGCAACCCCAGAATCGGACACAACTGCACCTAATGGTCAGGGGTCCCTTTACCTTTAAACAAGCTATAGCTTAGGGCCCCACTCTCTTGGGGCCCCCCAAAAA